AAACACGTGCAAAATATCGGTTAATCGATATTTCTTTGTGCTGGCAATGACAAATGAGCTCACTGACGCGTTCCAATTGCAAATTTTCACATACAGGCCAACTTTCGAGAAGACTGTTTGTTAATTCAGGTAAATTGTGAAAACACCTTCGTTTATGTGTATTTTGAGACTAAAGCCTTTAATTAAAAAGGTGCATAAATATATCTTCATCGCACCGTTCCATAAACATGTCGTCGGCAAGTACCAAGGAGAATTCGTGTAAAAATTCGAAGACCTCTTCGAAGACCGGAAAAGGCAAAATGAATAGGCCCATTATAATAAAAGGCAACTCCCTGAAATCTGATCCGACAAGCTCCACAAATGTGCTCAAGTGTTTCGTGAAGCATCACAAGATGTCCCTGGAGGAACTGAAAAAGAAATCGAATGAGATATCTGTGAAAATGGAAAAAACTGAGATTTTCATTGCTGAGAGAAACCAGGAAAATGCTCAATTGAAGAGACAGTAATTTCAACCATTGTTATTTGTATTTATAGTAAGACATTTGTTGACACTTTTTGCCATTCGCTAACAGGCTTCAAGATATTAGGGAGCAACTGGAAAATGTGAAGGCCATATGTGATGGTTTAGCTAGGGAAAACTGTGAGCTGAAGGATAAGTACATGGCTTGCCACTCGAAGTATATCGAATTAGAGCTTTCCTATGATAGGGAACTCACCATATTGAATGCAAACATGATCAAACAAAAAGGTGAATTAGAACAGGTTGACAGACTAAATGAACAGGTGAGTAAATGGCCAACAGACTGCATAGAAGGCGAACATCATTTCATCATCATCATCATCTTATCTCTTTAGCTGAAGAGTGAGAACTTCCAGCAAAGGCAGGTGGTGGCCCAACTCCAAGCCGTGTCGGCGGAGAAGGATAAACAATTGACCGAACTAAAACTGAAGGCAGATCAACTGCAGGCCTATAATGTCGAACTGAAGGAGGTTTTTGAGGAGTATAAGGAGAATGTGTCCCAGAAACACGAGGTGAGAGAAATCAAATGGGTGTGGCCACAATTCTAAGAAATAAAAAACCAAAACTCTTGTATTATAGCGCGAGACCGCCCAGCTGAAGGAAGAGGTGAAGGAGCAGGCGGCTACAATTCGTGAGCTTATAGAAAACAGCGAAGTGCGTGACGTTGAGTTGCAGTTAGCCGTATCTAATATGAAACATGCTGAGGAGTTTGGCACTGAGCTGTCAAATCGTAATAGTCAGTTGTCGTCGGAGGTGTCTGACATTTCTCACCGTCTGAAAGTTGAAATAGAGGATCATAACAAGAAGATAAGGGAATTAAATATGCAGATTATGGAATTGGTGTCTGAAACAAAGCGTTATCAATTCGACATTGCCAAGCTTGTTGAGGCAAACAACTCTTTAAAGGATATGAATAACGAGGCTAATGCTGCCTTGGCAAATGAGGTAGCTAGGGTTAACCAGGAATCCAGTGATCTGAAGAAAAAGTTCGAACAACTTCAGCAGGAGCATATGGATACAACCAAAACCTTGTTAGCCGAAAAGGCCGATCTGGCCGAAAAATTGCAGGCGCTGAAGGAACTCCATGCGGTAAATGCCAATCAGCATGGGCAAAGGTATTAAATTAATGCTTTTGAATTTACAGTCAAACATCATAGCTCTGGAGTCCGAGATACAGCAAAAGGAGGAGCTCCGTTTGGAGTTTGAACAAAAAGTTGCCGAACTGGAACGTCAAAAAAATGTGAGTGCAATAATTGGGCAGGCAAACATTGAAGACTCTTTATAATTGAAAGCTCTCTTCTAGCAGAACACCATAGCGGAACTTACCTATAAAGTCAACCAAATTAAGAATCTTTCTGTTCTTCCAGTAAAGAGCGCTATGCTAACTACTAACCAGACCCAACCGATTACTAACAAAAACCCTCAATTAAACGCAATAGCTGTAAATTCAGTTGGAACCACTGAGATTTCAAAAGACGAAGCCACACCTGCACGCCGCAGGCAAATTAAACGTACTCATGCTAGATGCTACAATTCTGACTTTAACACTGAATCCGAAGATGACGCAGACAACGACACAGGCCGTAATGACACAGCTCCCAAGATGGTATGTTTCCATAACATAAATAATGTACAATTTTGTAACGAATTTCTTTACTATTACAGAAGAAAATGAGTCGTTCAAAGGCTTCGAACAAGAATAAATCTGCTAACGATTTGAGTGCCTTCGATAAATTGAAAAATAACTAATGGGTCAACTGTATTCGAAGTTCATCAAAACATATATATTTCATTCAATACTTGCATAGCTCAAGTATCTCAGTTTGAAGTCCTCAAGGAAAACATTTTTATTTTTTATATTTGAATGTCTATGACATGTGCTTAAACATACAAATAACTTGAATTCAACAACTTTACCACTCGTGGTATTACCTCACACATATAAGACTTTCAGGCTTTATAACCGTATTCTTAACCACGTTCAATAAATGGACAATTTTCTTAATTTATTGTATTTAATTCATTAGATTAGTCTGATTTGTGATTATAATTACGCGCCTAGTCCTCATTGATGCAATGATCAATGCGTGACTTGGACTAGCTTAAGATGATTAATATTGATGCTGCTGACTGATTCATGTCAAGTGCTTTCAACCCGCTGCTCATCAATTGATAAGAGTCATCAGGGGGCCTGATTCTTCGCCGCTAATTCAAGTTTTTAACTTTGATTAGCATTTTGCAGACCGCACCATGGAGCACTGTACATGCGTATACATGCCGTTGCCGTTGGCCAACCCAGAATGATTGATTGGATTCTTACCGAACAAACGGCACCAGTTTGTCCACTTATCCACTTAACCATCCATCACCATCAGAGCTCGGGCCCCCTCACTCGCAATTCAATAAAGTTAAAGCCGCAACGCCACGCCCAGCACATGACCATGGTATTGCCCCCACCGCCAGCACAACGGCCATTGCTAATTGTATTGCGGAGGAATAAACGCCGCAATCCTTTCAGTCGCCTCACACCGCAGCGGCGACGGCGGTGGCAGCGACGACAGCAGCGGGAGCAGCAGCACTGACGGCGGCAACAAGAGCAACTGTTTRCTGCCATTGCTACAGCTACAGTTACAGTTACAGTTACAATAACTCATGGGAAACAACGCGCCATTGATACGTTTTGGCGACAAAGCCGCCCGCCACGTCTGCCGCACACCGCAAAAACTAAACAGGCTCCCGATGCTCGGTTTAATCACAAACAAATGCGTCCGGCCACTGCTGACAGAGTGGCCCAACAACAATAAAGTGGCCGACAATTCGTGCGCCTCACCAAAAACAATTGCCGGCTGACTGGCTGGCTGGCTGGCATCCCACATTATCCGTCCCACATCGCTTTGTACCGCCGAACCGCCTGCTACAAATCCGGACAATGACAGACCGTTACACATTTTAGCCCGCTATTAATTTTCGGAAAAATATTCAAAAACCAAACAGCGAAAGTTTTGGTTTCATCTGTTGTGCCAACAACAGCAGCACCAACATTTTGACTGTACAATTATTATTTGACTATTCTCTGTTGGCTATGACTGTGCTGGGCGTGGCCTGACAGTGGGAGCCACTTCCATGGCACCCTTCCTGCTTGTCGCCCATTCGCCTGCATTGAAGCACACTGAAATAATTATCAGCGCTCTGATTTGCGTGCACAGCAGCAGCAGCAGCAGCAGCAGCAGCAACAACAACAACAATGTTGGTAAATCACTTACGCTACGTTTATCCAAAAAGTAAAAGAGAATACTTCGACCATGCCAGCAGCACCTAGCAAGTCCTGCTCAATAGCAAAGCGCCTCTACGCTCAGTCCGCACCGAAGGCATTTGCTGATTTGTACGTCCACCCGGTTGCAGCCGACAGCAGAGAGAAGAGAGTGGAGAGTGGTGAGTGGAGAGCAGGGAACAGAAGCAGCATCAGCGCTGATGATTTTTGTTGTCGTTGTTACGAGTATTTGTTGCAAAGCGCATAAAAAGCATAAGCGCGTAAATAAAGTCAACCTCATTTATTTTGAATATAAACTACATTTTTTACGACTGCCAACAGCCAGAAACCAGCAGCGGCACCAGCAGCACCAGCAGCAGGCGCAGGAGTAGGAGTAGGAGGAGGAGCATCAGCCAGACCCAAAGTCAAAGCACTTTGCAATAGTCACCGTCATCGTTGGCATCGCTGTCGCTGTCGCTGTCGCCGTCGCCGTYGCCGGCAGCCGTCGCCTGATTTTGTTACAGGGGTCTGTGAACAACCTGGCAGACGGCCATGTCAGCTAAGTGATGCAGTTGAGCCGCGTCGCGGCATTCTTTACACATTCTGTAGCGGCTTGTGTGAATGAACTTTGTAGCGTGCAGCTTTTGTCTGGCTTACAGCTGGCGGCTGCCTGCTGTGAAACTGCCTGCTCGGAAACTCCAGCTGAAAGAATTCAAAGTTGATAAAGTGCTTCAAGTTAGAGTATTAGAGCGGCGACTTGCCGCCATATGCCGTTAGCTATTGTTATACACTCTGTAATTAAAGAGCAGACAGGTAAACATCGACTAGACGCGCACGTTATTTGTTTTAACAAAAATTCTTTATGATGAAATTTTTAAAATTACAACAGCCAAAAATTTGTGGTTCATTGAGAAATATTCATGCGTATTTCATATCAAGCACAGGCATTTCAATCGAAACCATAAATAATAAAAGTAAAAATAAATTCTTGCATTATTATCGTTGGCAAATATTTTATAGTTTTGGGCCGTTGAGCATCAATAACTTTTGCCTGTTTCGAGCAAACGTTTTACATTTTATGAAGCTCTGACGGGCTTCGAATTTTGCTCTTCTGTTTTTGCTGGGTATTTTGAGTATCTTGAGGCTGCATACTCTAAGTTTAGTTTGTTGTTTTTTTGGGGGTTTTTTTGTCAGCTTGCTTATTGTTTTTATTGCATATTGTTGTTGTTGCTATTGTTGCTTTTGGGTTTGTTGTTGTTTGCGTTGGGCGCTGTTATCGTCTCGCCCAACCAAAGGTAAGCAATTTTCGTTGAGCTCTCGACATTAAACGCAAAAATGACATACAGCTTACAACGTGTGGGGAGGGCAGTTGCGAAGGGGGGGCGAGTGGCGGCATCGGGGCGTTGGGTTGAAATGGCAGTTGCTGTTGATGTTGGATTGTGTGTTGGGTGGGTGGGCAGCACGGGGGCAACAGTTCATTGCCGCCAGTTTCTTGTTTGCTCCAAAATACACAGAGTGAGAGAGAGACACACACAGAGTGAGCGACAAAGGGAGAGGGGGCGAGACACAAAAACCAGAAAATAAAGAGAAATGAATGCATTTGTCATGACCTCGAAACGGAAACAATTGAAAAAAGCTTTTCCCATCGCGTTGCGGCTGCTGCAAGCCAGCAGCAAACGGCGACATTGCCAGCAGCGGGCAGCAGGAGGAGATGGAGGAACAGGGACAGACCCCAGCCAAAAGGGCGACCCCTCTCAAGCACACACACACACACACACACACACACAACTGTAACTGAGGCGTAGCACAAAAATGCAACTGACATAGAAAAACGGCTTTTTATATGGCCAAGCACACACACAAATATAAATACATGTATATATACATATAAATATACATACATACACGCATGTGTGTGTGCGTGTGTGTGTGTGTGTGGCAGTTACTTACATATAGACAAAGTGTGCCTGAGCTGGTTTCAGCTCAATATAAAGTCTCTGGCTCCGTTTTGCTTAGGTTTCTTTTCTTTTTTTTTTTTTTTTTTTTTTGCTTTCTTTCTGCACACAATGCAACAGCAAAAACAACAAAAGGTGGCAGTAAAAGAAGCAGCAGATGACGGCAAAACGACTGGCAAGAAAATTCTTTTAGCCATTTGAGCAACGTAAAGTAAGTCAGTTGACTGGCCAAAGGCACATCATGGCCCTGTGAATGGGCCAGCACAGTTGGTCAGCTACAAAAAATAGCAAAGAGCGAAGGCGTGTCGGTGTGTGTATGTGTGCGTGTGTGTGTAAGTGTGTGTGTGAGTGTGGCCTACGGAACTGCCTGGGGCCGAGATTGAGCGAGCTTGTGCCTGGCAGCAGGTCGACATTGACGTGACGTGAGCGTTAACGTTAACGTAAACGTTTACGCTTACGTTTGCGCTTACGTTGTTGTTGATTTGGCAGCTGCTCCGGCTGCGGCTACGGCTGCTGCTGTGCCTGGTTAGGCCTGGGTGCGTCAACTTCAAATTAATTGCGCTTCAACTTCATTATTTTGCATGCCTGAGCATGCCTGTTGGCCCGGCTTTAGCTTTGGCTTTCGCTTTGGCTCTGGCTTTGCCGTTTTAGCCTTTAGTCGCTGCTGCTGCTTGGCACTTTTCGGCGCCTGCCTGACACCATTTTGCGCTTGGTCAATATTTCAAACAGATTAGGAGAGCAACAAAATGCGCCTTAATTGAATGCCACAAGCCGTCGAACCCAGCCCAGACCTCAAGCCCCAAGCCCCAGCCCCCAACCCAAACCCCACCCAGACCAGTCCAACCCAAGCCAGCTGCTGCTCGGCACAAGACATACATATTTAATGAGCCTCGACACGTCTTGCGACAGGCTCACAGCCTCCTGCTGCCCCTGCCACTGCCGCTGCTGCTGCTGCTGCTGCTGCTGTTGGTTATGGAGTCGGAGTTGGACTTGGAGTGGCAGACGCTGCTTATGACTGGAGGCAAGTGGTTCCAGTTGCTCCACAGCTTCATTCGCGTCCGACAACATGGCATCGTTAGCGCTGCTGCCGCTATCGCAGTCGTAGACGCAACCGCACCTTGGCAGCGGCACGCACTCGCACGCACACGCTTACACATATAGGTATGTGTGTGTATGTGTGTTGGTATAAGCCGAACCATAAATTTCGTTAATCATTGAACTGGAAATTTAATAGCCAAGCCATATACACAAGCGGCATTAAGCGCCAGGCAGTCTACGCAGCCATTTCCGTATGCGCTTCAACTGGCACTCCGGCTTAAGGTAGCCCGTAGTCCGTTGCCCGTAGTCCGTGGCGCCCGTTGCTCGCGGCGCACAGCTCGTTGCCCCCTTTGGCTGCCCCATTTCTGGTATCCTGTATGCCCAACACTCAACGAGCATTGCAGTTAAAGTTTCGTTGGCTTCCAAAGCCAGCAAAGCGCAAAAATTCCATTGCACAGAGCACGTACCAGCTGTGGAGTCATGAGCGTGTGTGTGTGTGTGTGTGTGTGTGTGTGTGTGTGTGTGTGGGTGTTACACTTAAAAACTACAGAGAATATAATAAGCATTTTGCTAAAAAGACGACGACACTTCTGACCCCTAGCGTGACTTTAGAAATGAGGCGACCCCCTCCCCCTCACCCTCCCTCTTCCACACGGCTCCTGCATTGCGCTGCTGGCCAAGCTAAAATACATAATTATATGGCTGTTGTAATAATGCGAGTTGGCG